TCTGAGTTATATCCAATAAATTACTTAAAAGCCTAAAAGTTCATGGAGCAGTCCCATAATTCAGAACAGACTCCAAGCCATGAAGCACACTGAGCAAAAAAGAAATTATAGTCAGCAAACAGCTGTCTCCCAACTTAGTGGAATCTCTTATACTTGATAGAAAATATCTCTGCCTGTTGGGAAACACAACCTCCTCCTATCTCAGTTTTTTCAAAGAACAAAGAACAGCTTACTTTTTACTTTCAGAAGAAGTCTTCTTTTTATTGCTTTCTCCCCTTTTCTTTATCCCCTAATACTTTCCACAAGGTGGAAGATACAGGTTCAGGTTCCTCTTCTGATCGGAGGAAGCTTTGATTGTCCCAGCAAGTGCCATAATCATGAAGCTACAGCCCATTTTTCCACCATTTTGCTTTCCCACTATTTCAAGAACCAAAAAGTCACAGGGACAGTCAGGGCGAACAAGGAAGAGTACGACTGCAGCCTGTGCTAAAGGTTCTTTAGATAATAAGTCTCAGCTGTAAAACTGTAAGTTTCTCCAAAATCTGGCCAATGTCAGTCTTGGGACTGCATAGCCACTTAGAAGACCTACACTGTCACTACTTCGGTGGAGCCTTTTTTCTCTTCTGTACAGTGGCGCTACTTCAAAAGCATAGTTAACACATCTCATTTAACTGTGTAGCCAAAGTCTAGTAGCTAGGCCACAGTCCTAACAGATGGAAGCTGTAGTTTGATTCCCCATCAGGCTGAGGAAAGTTTGCATCCTTGTAACCCGACTTGGGGGAAAGTTCACTATATACTTGGGCTTTATAGAAAAGCAGGGCAGCCTCTTCTCGCTATATTCTTTTTAAAAAGCAATAGCTGTTCCCAAACTTCACAAGGTTCTTAAATCAGCCTTTATTTCATGCATGGTCTGAAACTTCCTAATACATTAAGCCTCTTTGAAGAGTGAAATACAACGAAGTTTAGTCTCTAGATCTTGAATAGGCCAAGCATGAAACAACTATCAAATTACTCCGTCAAAATTCACAGAATCTCAAATGTGAGACAGTAAAAATGGAGAACTAAGTATACACTTACCTGGGAAGCAGATAGTCAGCAATGCCCCAAAACTTACAACTTTTGATTTCTGCACCCAAGTTCTCTTCTGTTTTTTTATTGGACCTGCCACAAGGCATACCACGTAACTCTCCGTTGTTTTATTCAATTAGATATAAAAAGGCAAATGTTATTGCTTTCTCAAACTGAAATGTTTTTTAACACTCATATTTATATTACATTTCAGATTATACTTACAAAAAAAATCTTAAAAGCACTTCTAACATATGAAGCACTAAGTAAACAGCACAACTAGAAGAATTTAACTGGAAGCTAGTCTGAAATATTTGCTTCAAAAGTTTAAACAGAAGAACTGTTTGTTAAATAACAGCTTTTCTAGAAACAAATTTTCAGCACTGCTAAGTCACTATGACACTATCTCTCATTCAAGGATGGACTTATAAATCATCTATATAACCTACATAACTAATGCTTGGAGAAATATAGTTACTCTAAATACATTTATCATAGTGGTATCTGAGTGCAAAGGAAATTGTAAAACCAGGAAAATGATCCGACAAATCATCCACTCCTTATGTTCCCAGAAGTGTGCATCGTAGAAGTATTAGCCTTTTCCCATCTTCTGCCTGTTGTGTTCATTAACATTGTTGTGGAAAGTTAATGCTGGGATGCATCTTGCTCTTTCTTTAGAAAACACTAATATTTAAATCAGGTATTCAACAATTCCTAGAGAGTTATGAGAAATCCCAGCTCTGTGCCCTGGCACATGTCAATACTGTGCTCCTGGAAACTTCTGAATCCTTAAGGAGAAGAGCCATACAGGATCACATTCACAGGACAGGAACTTATTTCTGCCAGACTAATTAAAGCCATAGAAAACACAAAAACCAGAATCTTAAAATGCACTCTTTATTGATCCAGGTCTCAGAGGAAGTGTGTTCCAACAGCAATCTGCTGGTTTGCAAAACAGAAGTCTTATATTACTGCCTGCATTTTCCATTATATATATGAATTTGTAGGCCTCATACAAAGTCATAGATAGGAAGGTTGTTAAAATTTACTGTATTTCAGTACTAAATGACACAACTGAAAAATGCACAAATCACAACCACAGCATCTCCAACTAAGGAGGTTTAGGAAAAAAAGCAGCAAAATTATTATTAACTAAGCAGTGTCACAGTTTACTAGAGAAAAAAAAAAAGAAAAATGTCACGATCATTATTATGCTCTTATACTTAGGGAGATAAGAATAAGCAAAATACGCTTAAACCATATAAGATTTTCTTTCACTTTTTAGCTTCCTAAAATGAAAATATGTACCTACATCCATTCTCATATGAAAAAGATATAATGAGGACTATGATAGTTTCAATTCTCTGCTTACCACCGTCAAAGGTGCATAGCTAGTCTTTGTAATTGCTGGTGTTTTTCACTATTACATCATCTGACAGCACATTCACTGAAAAGGAATAATGCTCTGCTTAGTCCTTTGATCTTAGCCTGAGAAAGTTATGAGCATTGTTGATATTCAAACTATATGGTCCCAGGTACACCAACATTTCAGGCACCCTAACTTCCCCTGTCTTTTACCCCCAAAACCAGCAGGAAGTGACCACTAAACCAAACAAAACAGAATGAGAACAAGAAAAAAAAAACAAAATTTCAAAACCAACCAAACAAAATACATGCAACAGCTCTTATTATTCTCCTCTGTTCAGAACAGACCTATGCACTAAGCACGGCTGCATTACTTGACAGTCTATGTTCTCTCATTTTTTCCAATGTTACAGCTTGAGCCCACCCTCTATTAGTTGCAAACTGAACTTCTGGGCCAAGGTCTGCTACATAGACTCATCTGTAGGAGCAGTTGGCCCACAACATACACCTGTCCTAGCAAAAAGTCAGAGTTTTGCTTTTAACAGACAACAAACAGACCTCTTCTCATTTTTGCTTTGTTGCCAACATCTTTCAAAAAGTGATGCCAGAAAAAAAAAATTAAACACTGAAAGATAAGCATATTTGGCCTCTGGGGAAGAAACAAGATGACCTAAGACCTACTTGAGAAAAGTTGGTATGTGTGGAGAGAATAGATTAGATTCTGCAGAAGAATGAACAAATAATCTACCAGATTAATCACCACCAATGCCCAGGGTAGCTCTAAAATCTATATGAAGGTTTGTTACTTTTTCCAAAAATCAATATTTTCCAAAAATCATATTTCCAAAAGAAATATGAAGCATTAAAATATTTATGGAAGTATTCAGTCTTGCAAATACTTCATTTTTCTGTCATTTTACATTACACATACATTATAGGTAAAATATATATTATCAGTGACATTCCAGGACTGAACACGTGCATATGAGTTTGAAGACTGGGATCAGAGCCTAAAATTTTTTCATAATATACTCACAGTGCCAACAGGAGAAAAAAACCCTGCTGTTCAGTTCAATGAAAAGAAAAAAAAAATCTGTTATAAAATGTGTGGTAACATATGATGAGATCGGGTTTTGGAGTATCAAAACCTCTTGACTGGATTCAGGTGGAAGAAAATCCACTTTGGCAAAACCACTTAATTTCCTGCAGATGTAAGGGGGGTGAGAGGGAGCAGAATTAGGCCACAGAACCTGCATCAAAGAGCAGTTCTATTGTAATCTCGGGTGACTGGGCTGGGCAGACGGTTGGCAGGGTGGTCCTGTCCCAGTCACCACGCATCCCAGCTGCCATACCTCTGCCAGGGCCACCACCTGCACACAGCCCCTCTGCAAATGGGCACAACCACTGCTCCTCCATGGCCTCGATGAGAGCTCAGCCCCTGCAAGGTGACATTTTAACTGTGTTTCCAGAGATGTGCACAGCCTGTCCCCAATGTAGCCCAAGCACCTAGCAGCCTCCTGGGTGCTGGCAGGCAGGTGGAGGCAGCCCTTGTGGACACAGCACTGCCCAGGAAGTCACTGTGATATTGGGACCAGTCTCAGCCAGGCGAGGCAAGGGTGTACCAGCTGCCGCCTCCCACTTCTCCTCATGTCAATAAACCACAGAGTAACAGAATCATTAGGGTTGGAAGGGATTCCTGGATCCTACTCCAACCCCCCCCGCCAAGGCTGGGTCACCTAGAGCAGGTTACACAGGAACACATCGAGGTGGGTTTTGAACGTCTCCAGAGAGGGAGACTGCATGACCTCTCTGGGCAGCCTGTTCCAGTGCTCTGCCACTCTCAACATAAAGAAGTTCTTCCTCATGTTGAAGTAGAACTTTTTGTATTTTAGTTTATGGCCATTGCTCCTCACTCTGTCACTCAGCAGCACCGAAAGAGTCTGGCACCATCTTCTTGGCATCCACCTTTCAGATATTCATATGCATTAATGAGATCCCCTCTCAGTCTTCTCCAGACTAAACAAGCCCAGTTCCCGCAGTCTCTCCTCACGGGAGAGATGCTCCAGACTCTTAATCACCTTTGTGGCCTCTCTGTATCCCCTCCTGTAGCTCCTTGTCTTTCTTGTTCTGAGGAGCCCAGAACCGGGCACAGCACTCCAGATATGGCCTCACTAGGGCCGAGTAGAGAGGCAGGATCACCTCCCTCGACCTGCTGGCCACAATCTTCCCGGTGCACCCCAGGATACCACTGGCCCTCCTGACGGCAAGGGCACACTCTCATTACAGCCCGAGATTTCCTCTCTTCTCATCCTTCGGGAGGCTTCGCGTTTCCAAGCGCCTGTACTCCAAGGCAAGCGGCTGCAGTAGCGCTCACCTCGCCATGCCCTGCTCCGCCCGTCCCGCCGGGAATGACTCACGGCCGTGCCCGGAGGCGGGGCCGGGCGGGACCGGGCGGCGCGGATTGGCTGCAGGGCCGGCGCGGCCGGGCGCGGATTGGCTGCCGCGCGGCCTTTGTTCGGCTGCGGCCACTGCCCCGGGGCAGCGGAAGTTTGAGCGCCGTGGAGCGCGCGAGCCGCCTCACCTCCGCGCCCCGCGGGAGCCGCCTCACGGCCGGCCCGGCCGGCCCCGACATGGACCTGGAGAGCAAAGTGAAGAAGGTAAGGGAGGCTGCCCGCCGGGTCACCTGCCGCGGCGGCCGGCGTCTGCTCCGCTGGGAGCGGCGGACCCGCCTCGTTTCTGCCGCCCCCCGCGGGCGCTGCGCTGGGGTCGTTCCTCGGCCTCCGGGTCAGCCCTTCCCATTGCCCCGCCGCCCCGACTCAGAGGTAGGAGGCAGGGGAGCTGCCTGCCAGGTGACCTCCTGGTGCGGAGACGGCTGAGCTGCCCCGCTGCTCCGACCGTAGGTAATCGCCGCAGTTTGTGTCCGAGGTGGTCATGTGGGGACGTACCATTATATGCGAGTAAAAACATGTATTCTCCCCTCCCGCCCCAGTAAACCTCTCAGAGCTGATAGATGTCTTCAGGTTTTGCTCATTGTATGTAAGTATGAAACTTAAATTGCAAGCAACCAAAGAGCTGTTTGTGGACAGGCTGAAGGTTAGTTTCTGACGGATGATGTGACTGGCTCCTTACAAGTGCGTTGTCAGCGTTCCTGTGGATTACCTACCTGAGACAGAGACCTAGGATTGGTTTCTCTCTCTTTTTAAAGGCATATTGACTAGTTAGTTTGGAGTCAAACTGGAAAGAAGCATAAGGTAAGTAACAAAAACCAATAGGTAATCCAGTTGTATTAAATCTCTCTCTAAAACTCGCTATTTAAAGCTTCCTATATAAAACTGACTTCATATGGGATGCACATATAAATCTTTGCTTCTGGTACTTTTGCAAATTAAATGCAGTGTTAAATCACTGACATTTTTCTTTATAGTAGCTGTTTCAACACTATTTGATAATGGCAGAAGGAGTTTTACATATTAACATGGGTTAAATCTGTACATAATAATATCACTGATGTTTGAAAACTAGTCTTTTGAAATGCATGTTGTGTGAACACTTGTAGGTTTTATTCCTGGATTTCTATATTTAAAGGTAGCAACTTGTTTTAAAATACACATATGCACTTTTGTATACTTCTGTGCTTTTCCAGCTTGCAGGTCAGAAACTGACAGGAGTGTGGAAGTAGTTGTGCTGCATGGAAAGCTACTTGTCAAGGCTGAATCCTAGTGAAAAAGTTAGAGCTTGCTTCAAACCATAATGTCACCTGGATGAGGATCGTGGTTTGGAGAAACTACATCTATCAACCCCTTATCAACATTAGGCCATCAGTGTATAGATGGGTGTAGCTAAATACTATCGCTGTCTTTAGAAGATAGTTGTGTGCACAGGGTTGTTCCCCTCATATGACTCCTTGTATGTAATGAAAACAACCTGAGTATATTTGCTTATATTATCAAAGCACTATTTAAAACTTAAAATTGATGGCATCACAAGGCTTGTTAACTGATAGTTTTTTGAACTCCAGGAGGTGGGAGATGCATATTTGTGGAAGATAGAGCATTCCTACTCAGAATTTCTCCATCTAAAGAGAAAGTGAAATGCTGTGAAATGACTGATAAAATTCTGCTGAATGTTGGTTTGAGTGAACTTGTAGTTGCTGAACATCTGCTTTAAATTGCACTGTAATTATTGGGCAGTTGTGTGTGTTGTAAGTTTATTTGACTATTTTTGCCATCTTTTTCTTTAGTCATCTTTTACTCTTCTTCATCATCTTCAAAGTTTCCTGAAGACTTTTCTGAACCTGCTCAGACAGAGACAGAAGCTAGCAAAGCTCTGTTTGTAGAAAGTAATTTGTCTTTTTGTTCTGTTCAGCTTTAGTGTTAATACACAGAGATGTCTATGCTGGGAAAAACTTTACATTTTCTTTGTGTCTACTATATGTATGTTCAGAAGACTACTTCTGTTCTTCCCCTATGTCCCCACTCTTGTTCACATCTCCTCCTCATCTTCTTTCTCTTTGAAACTTGGGTGAAGCTCATTTCCAAGAGAACAGACAAGGATCAGTGACAAGTCACTGCAGGGAGGACTGGGAAGCTTTGTTATGTACCAGTGTGTTTGGTACCAAATCCTTTCCTTCTTTTATATCTACCAATATTTACTTAATCAAAACTTCCTAGATTTTGTGCGCTGGAAAGAAAGTGACAGCTCACATCAGCTCTGAAATAACTGTGTCTTCAGTTCCCATCCTTTAATTCCAATTCTCAACAAACCTGTTTATCATCTTTTTGCTTCTCTCTATTTTTTTTTTTTTTGGCCAACTTCCCTCTCTTGAAAGATGGAAGAACATTCTGAGAAGTTTCCAGTCAAGTTTATCAAAACCAGTAAACTATTTGGCTTGAAACTTGTCCTGAGCTGGAGATGTCCGTGTCAGATTTTTTTAGTCCATCAGCAGCAATGAGTTACTTTACCATGTGTTGTAGTTCTCATATATCTTTTGCACCCTTGGGCAAAATAACTTGAGTCCTTTTACAAAATGTGCTTGCAACCTCATGTAACGTTTTATTTTGTAGTGACTTGTGCCTATTTACTGCCTGGCAAATAGACGTAAACATTAGGTAGTGGCTGACCTGCCTGTTGGGTAGGACGTTCCTAGAACACTGGGCAGAAGAAAGCAGAAATTGTCACACTGTCCAGAAATAAGCTGTCATTCCCTTGCTTTTCTGAACTCAAAGTCTGAATTTAGAAGTTGACTATTGGGTAGCCCCAGTGTTCAATGGAGCAGAGGGAAATTAATGCCTGGTGGAGCAGTGTTCAGTGTAGACACTCAGCTGATACTGTAGAAAAATTTGTTTCCCTGCTCACAACTGCTAATGTATAACTGCACAGGATAATATACTGGGGTGTTTTCTGTTTCTGGAAAACTCAATAGATGAAGTTTCCAAGGTGACATTTCTAAGGTTTCTCTAAGTGTCAGTAACCCATGAATCCGTTCTTTAGTTGTAAACTGCATCATTGTCTCTTTGGAAAACTGCTGCATACGTTTATATCTACAAGTCTAGGTTTGTACAAAGGAAAAAAGCACTCGGTAAAAGTCTGTTTTTATTGTTGATATCAGGTTTGGGGTTTTTTTCCCCTCAAATTTAACAGTTCTAGCACAGTTCCTCTGACTGGAATTGCTTCCCTCTAGTACAAGACCCCTAGGGCTCAAACAACATACCTGTCTTTCAGCAGGAAGAGTTACTGCCCCACCTGACACTATTTCTAACCCATCTTTTAGCAGTGGATACCTTATATATTTGCTCTTACACAGTAGTCCTGTGTAACATACCTTTCTGTAGTGTTTATCTGTGAGGTATCTGAGGACACAATTACTTCAGCTCAGACTTTTAATTCAACTTCTGTTTGGTTTCTTTTATGTGCTGTAAAACTCATCTTACTGTCTTAACAAGTGGCTAGAGGAACCAATACTACCATGTAGCCAGATGTCTCTTCTAGTCTGAATCCTGGGCTCTGGACAACCACAGTCTGCCAGAAACAGAAATTTCAGCATGAACTTTATGCACTGAGGAATATATATGCAGAACATATGCAAATATTTGGAATAACATTTAATTTTTTTGTAATCAGTTCACCAATCTTCTTAGACACATGAGATGACTGGCAAATATCTAGGCAGTGAATACTGTCTTTTTGGCTGCTTTGTGAATAGTAAGCCTGATACCTTACTGTCTGTTATAATTTCCATTTAAAGGAGAAGGAGCGTTTAAGGATTACTGTACAGTTTTCTCCTTTTTCTCACAAGGAATTGGATTTGCTCTTGCATTTGAGGATCATGAAGATAGCGTTTTGTATAAAAAGAGATTCCACAGCAGAGCTGAAGGGTAAAAACAGTAGCTCCAGCTTGAGAAGTGCTTGTGCAACAAACAGACCACTGTTTCTCCCAAACACAATATATGCTGTGTTCTCAAACCTTACTTTGAGGGTATAGGGAAAACGAAGACTTAATGCTTTGTGTTGAAGACTCTAGCAGAACTTTGTTCTAACAGTCTGGATTCCTGCCCTGTCTGTCACCTCTGTGAACTTGGTAAAATGAATCAGCAGGTCACAGTCATGCTTTGCAGTCCTGCTGGTAGCATGGTCTCATGCTTCATTAGAGAAAATAAGAATCTGGCAGTGAGTCTGTTCTGTATAAGCTTTCACAGTATAATACTTGCTTTATAAAAAGAACTTTGATTGCGATGGAGAAGGGGTGGGGGAACTTGGGGGGAAGAGGTGCAACTTCTCTAATGTGAAATTTCTGCGTGGTTCTTTTTTTATGGTGTGAGACTTAATTTGTTCTATTACAGGTGGAAAAGCAAACATGGAATGCTTTAGTCGTTAAGTCAACAACTGTAATGATCTTTTATCTGATAAATGAATGGTGAATAAAGTGTGTATAGGAGCAAAGTCAACTTTTTTGTGTTTTGCAAAGCATGATTTAGTAACCTGCTGGACTGCACTTCCTGTTGAGATCACTGTTTGTTTTGGTGTTACTGCCATGGGAACCCTGTATAGTAGAGCTTTTTTTACTGTTTCTTATATGTAGTAAGATCAAAGAAATGTAGTTTTATTCATGGGTGATTTTTGCCTGCAAGTAGAAGTATGAAAGTGTTGGTGGAGATATAAGAGGAACTACTTCAGTTTTGTTAACAAGGAAACTGAGTAACTGCTTCCTGCATATGCTGTGGTGTTTGGCTTGGGGTTTTTTTTCCCATCAAAATTTGAAAAAAATATATCATGTGAATAGTTTTTCTGAAACACCTATCTGAATCCACATCCCTAGTTGGTTTTTTTTGTCCAGTATCCCTCCATATCAGCTTGGCAAATATGGCAAGGCTAAATTAAACTTTCTGAGTTTTTCTTTTTCCTCCTGTGGCAGAAGTATTCTCCAGGTGTCTGACCATAAAATATCATGAAATGCCTGAATAGCAAGTCAAAAAAACTCTTTGAATGCAGGACTATGTGGCTTCTAAGATCAAGTGAAGCTTTCTTTGATATGGCATATTTATAAGCCAAGTACCTAACAGTGAGGTGGAAAATTAACATTCTTTGAGTTACAGTATTCTGCCATTAAAATAACAAAGATCTACTTCTGAAACTGTTCCTGGAAAAAAACGAAATGTGTTTATTTCCCTCTAAGTAAGTAATAGTGAGTAGTGATTGTCAATGAAATTTTATTGGTAAAAGTTGCTTAAAACCACATTTATATTTTTTACCTCAAGAATTATACTCAACATGTTATGCAAATTAATGGCTTCTTCTGAGCAGATACAGAGTTTACAGATGTAAAGGCATTGATGTAAATTGTATTTTAAAATTGTTTTACCATCTAACCTAAATAGATATGCATGTTTCATTTATATATATAACTAATATGTATGTGTATGGGATGTATGCATATATATATGTTTTATACAGGGGTATATGAACAAAACTCCCTAATACATACTTTTTGCTAATGTGCAGAGTTGGTCAAGTTCTTTTAGGTGCTGGAGACCTGCAAGAAGAGTAGAGCTGTGAAGATGAAAGCTTGTCACACCTGTTTTCTAGACTCTTAAACTTGGTTAAATGAACAGGGCGAGTGTCAAGGGAGTGAGGAGGCTTCTGTCATGGCATTCCAGATTACACAAGATCTAACTGTAGTCATGTACTGCTCTGTGTGTGTTTCTGGTTTTTTTCATTTTTAAAGTCCTGTTTAACACTTTTTCTTTATGCCTGCTTTTTAGTTTGAGAGCACGCACTCTCCTGCATGGCTAAAGATCGTAAAAAGTGAGTCTGTAGGTTTCCAGGTCCACTTCTGAAAACCTAATGGTAAAAGATGCAACTGGGTAAGAGCGCTGATGTCAAAACAAATACACAGAATATTGTGAAAATGCCTCTGCAGCATTGGGTGATGGATAGAGTTGTATTGGAGGTTTATAGGTAGTGTTAGATAGTGTGTATAGATAGTATGTCAGCTGCATTCAAACATAGCTAGTATGATGCTGGACTTTGTGAATAAACATTTGTTTTCTATCCAGCTGAGGTATTTTTATTACCTGTTAGTCTCTTGATGATACTCTGTGTAGCAGTGTCTTAAATATTTAGATCCTGAGCTGTATGATATTTTGTTGAAGACATCATAATAAAATAAATTCTTAGTACTTGTGTACTATCATAGGCTACTGCAGCTCCTTGATTTATTCTTCTGCTTGTCCTGCCTGGATCATCTTTGAAATATTTTTCTTGGATGCAATCACTTTTTGGCATCCTTCTTTCTGTGCAAAAGGGTCTTTCATACCCAGTCTTCTTAATTCTGGTCAACTTTTCCCTAATTCAAAATGCGTATTTAAAAAAAAAAACAACAAGATCAAACTTACCATCAATTTTAATAGACGTTAAATAATAACAAGTATAGAGTGGTTCATGGGATGCTGCTCTTTGCTACAGATCTGAAATTTTTTCTTTTTTCTCACTGTCTGTCACAGTTTTATAAGAGCATTGTCCAGATATGAACACGTCTTTTGTAGTGGTGTGGTTTTGGTTTTTTTTCATTCCGGAATCATAAGAAATATTATTTTTCTTTTGTTTCTAAAGTTTAAGTGCTGTAACCTATTTTGATTTTCAGTTTGTCTTCTCTACTAGAGAAGACATCTCATAGCACAGAATATAGTAGTACAAGATCAGGTCTCAGCAATTAAGCAGGCACAGCATATGGAATTCCTAATGTGTCTTGTTCTCATGGTCTCTTTTTTCCCCTCCTTTTTCATTCTTGCTTTACCTTCCCTTCTTTGAAAGTCCCTAAAGCACATTAGGATGTGCTAGAAATCTGTTGTGCTATGCAGGTGTTTTCCCATCTGTTCCTCAAATAGATTAATAGTTAGGTAACCTTCAAATCAGAAGATTCCTGGGATTTTATAGTAAATCCAAGAATAGCTTTAGCATGGATCTGTTTGCTTCTCCCCTTGGAGTAGTGAAGAGCACAGGAGAAAGATCTGCAAAATGATATTGAAGATTTAATTTTTAAGGGTTTAATCTGAGGCTCACTGTTAATTGTTGCAGCCCATTAATAGCATTCTCACTGTATAGCCACATCCTTTCAAATTCTGGAGATATCTTGAACGTTGGAAGGGCCCTATCAATCTTCTGCAAGGCTGAGTAACCAGTGTTGTGTCTTACTGTCTGTGGAAGGAGAAGGAGTAATGCAGTTCACCTGTCTGGTGGTTCAGAAGTCCCCTTTGGGGAAGGAAGGAAAAGCAGCTGAGACCTGAGTCTCTTGGTGGGACTGAGGAGGTAAAAGAAATGTTGTGGGGGGAAGACATGGAAATGTCAAGTTGCGCTCCTACCTTTTGTTACGGGTTCCTCTTTTACCACATTCCTACCATTGCACCCAGGGACCTCTTTGTAAAGGCACTGATTCTTTAAATTATAAAATAACCGAAAATGTGGTATTCCCTGCATCTTACCACGTGTTCTTCATTAAATAAGTGGTATATGAATAATCTGTTCCTTCGTTTTGGACAGAAACAAGTTGAAAGTTGAGCTGTTTACATCCTTGTACATAAACCAATAGTAGTACAATTTCTCAAATTAAATGACAAACTTAATAATAAAACTGTATCACAACATCTAATCAACTTTGGCATTGTGCTATTGTTGCCAGAACTAAGATTCGTACCAGAAATTGTCAGCTTTAGCTCAGTTTCCATTTGTGGTAAAAGCTAAACTGTAGGTGAGCTGTCTCCTTCACAATGACCATCCCTCACACAGTGTCTACCCAGAAAGCTGGGAGCACTCCTCATGCTGCTGGAGTGGTGGCTGGGGATGTGGGGATGGGTTCCTCTCTGCGCGTTGGGCATGAGCCTGCATACCCTGCTGTGGCCACAATTCTGTGGTCCTTCATCTGTCTGATTTAAGAGCAATGTTTCCTAAAGGTTTAAAGAGCTGGAATGATACATTTTAAATTTACTGTGTTATATGAACGCATAAGTTATGGTGCTTCATGTCTGTTTTTCACCTCAAGCTTCAAGTGGCTGTTACTCAGTTAAATTTGTTGATGTGTTGATATATTATGTGAATACCTGGCCTTCACTCTGCACTGTTTTTTTTTTTTATATTCTCTCGTATTTCCTCTGCATTAAGAATTGGTCATCTGTCCTTTTAATTTTTTCACCATGAAACCCTTTACTTATCACTTATGGTCATTGCTTTTGCTAACTGTGCTGTTTCCATTTCCCTCCAAAAATAAGCTGGTATGAGTCCACTATCAGAGTGCAGTCTCAAATATACTGAGAAATATTAGACTAAATGCTTAGTTGTTACCTTTATTCCTAAATAAATGTAAATGTGGGGGTTGTTTATTTCTTGATCTCCTGTATTTTGCCAAGTCATATACTTTAAATCACTTGGTCCTGACAGCTGGATTAAATGTCCTTTGACTTAAAGTCTTCTGGCCTCACTCACTGTGGTTTCAGAGCTTCAAACCTAAGGAAGGGATGCAAAGAATGTGCTTCTTCCCTTGTCTGATGCTTGTAGAGCAAGCTGGGATGGGGAGACAAGTCACCAGAAAAATACTTGCTTTTGGCTAAAGCTAGCTCTGCCTGCTAGCTCAACTCTGTGAACAGGCTGGTGTGAACACTGTTAGTTATGTAGATACAATAGGAAGGTGAGTGGACCCCAAAATGCTGTCCTGATGTCAGCTTACTCAGGCGCTTAATCTTTTGCTTTAACTGTAGATTGCAGATTATAAAGGCAGCAGTAAGATCACTCATGCAGTATTATTCTTGAAGCTGACTATAGTTATCTTGCTCTGTACGCAGATGGGCTTGGGCCACGAGGAAGGGTTTGGTGCCCCCTGCTTAAAATGCAAGGATAAGTGTGAAGGATTTGAGCTTCATTACTGGAGGTAAGTGACACCAGATGTATCCTATACTGTGACTCAGCACTGTAGACCTAAGTACATGTATGCAAATGTCTAAGTGACTGCTTTTGTTCTCTCTTTTGATTAAACTATTGAGATGCTTTTAAAAAGCTGACAAGGTTTAGGACCAAAGCTTCTCAGATGCATTACAACAGAGTGTTTAAGTATCTAATCACTTGTGAACGTACATTTCATCTACACTGAAAAAAAAATGGTAGTACTTCTACTGAAGCATTTGCTTTAGCTGACTAAACATGTGAAGTAGGTTTGTAAAAACATAGCTATCCTTACTGTAAGAGAATTGACAGGGAAGAAGTGTGTTTTATCTCAGTGATAAAATGCATTCTCAACTCCTGACCAAATAGATAAGCTTTGATCTGAGACTCAAGGTAAAATTATTTTGAAAATATGTTGAAACTTTTTATACAGCTACAAATGACTTCAAAGGGGGAAGAGGTGGCACAATTCAAGTAACTTGGATAGTACTCAACCTTGGAGTAACAGTAACTCACTGTTACTGTACAGTGAGTTGATGATAGCAGTAAATAGTCTGTGTTATGGTCTGTACCATTTGGGCAGAAACTTTGTATGCCATTAAGACCTTTCTTGTTTTATTGGAACAACATCTGTGTATGTATATTAATGCATATATATGTAGCTGACCCAGTTGACTCATTGTACTGGGTATGCTTTAAGATGTAGCTTAGTGATTCTGATTTTTTAAAAAAAGTCCTTCTGAAAGGGAAAACACCTGAAAAGGACATAAAAACAGATAATTGTTAGTAGCACTAGCACATGCTAACAGTAAAAATTATTACATATTGTCAACGCTGTTTAGCTAGAACCATAATTGTATCTGCAGTAGAGTTTTATTTTGTGGGGTTTTTTGAAGGTAGGCTTTGTATCCCAGTCATGGCAGCATCAGGTGCTAATAAGGCCTAGGAAATTTTGTCTTTGCCCAAATATTTGACTGCAGATGAGACTGTTTAGAAAATAACCAGGCAAACAAAAACAAAAGACAGCAAAAGCTTGCTATAAGTTGATAAGAATATAGCTTGTTGATTGTGTATCTGTAATATGTAGCTATAGAAATAACTTACAAATAATGATATGGAGCAAGAAGTGGTAATGCACTAATAAGTAAATGTGATCATCTAAAGATAAAAGACACAATTTATGGAATGACTTTTTCAATATGCACTGAGTCACTGAAGGAACTTGTGTAGAAGTACTAGTAAAATAAAACAGAACACACTTAATGTGTGGAGGTAATGCAATAAAAGAGAATTAAAAAATGCAAGAGTAAATAGTGTTTATCTATGGTTAGATGAGAAACGTATTGCTTTCTACTCGAAAGCTCTTTGTTCACAGTCACCATGATAGATGGGGAAATCACAAGTGTGGGAGGAAAAAGATTAGTCCAGTGAACTTTTTTTTCTCCCTTTTTTTTTTCTTCTTTTGCTTAGCTCTCAGTGTTAGACTTTGTAATTGCTAGCTTATTCTTTAAAAGGGAAGAATTTGGTGTAAAAAGAAATAAAATGGCTGAAGTGATTTAGTCACATATTAGTATGATTGCCAAGTTAGGAAGCGTCTGCTTTTCTTTATGTGTTTCACTGTCTTCCTGTGGTTAGGCCTCATTGTGCCAGGTCCTAAATTCATAGCTCATCAGAACACTGCCTCTCCTAGAAAGGAAGAGCTTGTAGACAGCAGTGGACTAAAGAGCAGGTAAGGAAAAAGATGTAAAAACAGTGACAATTTAAGTAAGATTTCATTTGGAAATTGAATCTATATAGGATAGACGAGATAAATAAGGTGACTGGAAGCGTTCTGAGAAGCTTCATCTATGAGTCAGAAAAATGTGGCACATACCTCTGAAACAGCTGAAAAGTTAGCAATTGGGACAATTCAAGAATGGGTTAGAAAACAGCTGTTTCTCCAGCAGAGCTGCTACTGGGGACTGTAAGGGTGTGAATTTGAAGTCTTAATTCAGTTTTGTGTAAACAGTTTTCAAAGAAAAAATATTAATATACTTTGCATGATGCAGGTATTTTGGGAGTCTACCACTTGAACAGAAAGATTCTTTTCACTTAGTCATTAGCCTTAAAATTTGAAACTGAAGTAGAAACAAACTGTAGCACAAGTGAACAGAATATTGTCTTTGTAGCATGAATGATCAAAATCAGTTCAAGTTTAATCGCTAATTTTACTGTTACTCATCTGCAAAAGACAAGTGTTGAAGTAAGAATTGTAGTTAGAGAATCTGTTACTCATTGGGGAATAACTGGGGGGGGGGGGAACGAGGCCAGCCAGCAACCAAGCACCCCACACAGCTGCTTGCTCCCTGTCCTGCGTACACAGTGTGGGACCAAAAAGCAAGAACAAAAATGAGAACTCATGTGTTGAAGTCAAGTCAGTTTAATAGGTGAAATGGGAGGTGAGCAAGTGATGCAAAGGCAGTCACCGGCCACCTCCCATCAGCAGACTGATGCCCAGCCAGTCTCCAAGCAGTCTACTCTAGAAGTTAGAAACCCTGCCTTCTTGACCCTTTAGCTCTGTCATACTGCTGATCGTGACATTATATAGTATTCAGCATTTCTCTGGCCAATTTGAGTCGGCTGTGCCCCTTCCCAGCATCTTCACTTGCTGAGGTAGGGGCAGAGTGCAAAAACAAAGGAGCCTTGACTTTGTGCCAGAAGTGCTCAGCAATAGCAAGTGCTATCAAGGCTGTTTTAGCTACAAACACAAAGCACAGCCCCCTACAGGCATTAGGAAGACGGTGATCTCCTTACGAGCCTGACGCAGCACGGTAAGTGAGGCAGCAGCGGCTGCGGGCGGTGTAAGGGTGACACTGCCCTCTCCTGGGGGGAGCCGCCTCACACAGCCCTTGGCCTGATCCGCTGAAACGGTGTTCCTCAAACAGCTACCAAGTAATTTCTTTCTGTATTTCCGTACAAAAGAGTCTCAGCTTTTCCTCTGGGGGGTCAGATTGGAAAGAGTACAAAAAAATCTAAGTACCTATCTAGTGACAGAGTTTTACACAGAGTTGCTACACCCTTCTTCTCTGTACTGGGAGTGTTTGGAAAATATCTCTTCTGGGATGGCAAGTTTGTACTGTAAATTTTGAGACATTATTGTGTGAAGGTTTTATAGGTGCAGAACTGTAAATTGAGGGTAGTATAAAAATGATGGTAAACAAAGCCTTTAGTAATTTTTTTTTCCTGAATTTTGAAATTCTGATAGCCTCAGTGTTGTGAGCTGAACATTAAATGAAAGACAGGGTCTACAATGTAGCTGAATGATTAAAAATTATCTGCTTTATCTTAGTGAGCTCATAGCTTTTGCTTTCAAAATTGTCCTCAGAATCATACTTCTGTCCAAGTGTAGAAGCAGCATCAGGAAGGGTTTTCTTAATTTTGGTGTTATACTTAGTTCAGTCTGCAAAACAGCCTCCACACACATGTAGCAGGGCAGGCTGGATGCAAGACTGCTACTCAGTTACATGTTGCTCTTTGAGAACATATTTCCCGTTAGAGGGAAATACGGGACAGGAGTTAGAAGTTGTTAGAAGTGGGAGGGAAGGTTCTGATTTATCTTGGTCGTGTATATACCAGATAGTGATAATGGTCTCTGCTGTGGCTTGCCAAGATATGAAGAAACTTCTGGGGATAAGAATCTTAAGCTTGAGAATGACCTTTTCCAGCATCTGGCTTCTCTGCACAGATAAAATCCCTGGAAGGCAGGGAGAGCTTTAAGTTGACTTTAAGATTCTCTGATACTACCACTGACAGGCAAGTATGAGATGCAGTTCAAAGCATTTGCAATTATATAGCTTCATAGATAGGAAGGAAACGTAACAGAAGGAATCATAGAATTACAGACCTGAATGAAGGGACAGATGCTTTCTCAACAGGTTCACTGCCAACACAAAGCTGGAGGAGTGGATGATAACGAGGGTTCTGTGCAGCCCTTCAAAAGCACCTTGAGATGTTGGAGAGATGGGCACAGAAGAACTGTCTGAAATTCAGCAAAGACAAATGCAGGGTCCTGTACCCGGGGAAGAATAACCTCAGGTACCAATACTGACTGGGGCCGACCTGCTGAAAAGCAGCTCTGCGGAGAAGGACCTGTGGGTCCTGGTGGACAACAAGCTGTCCATGAGCCAGCAGCGTGCCCTGGTGGCCAAGAAGGCCGGTGGCATCCTGGGGTGCATCAGGAAGAACATTGCCAGCAGGTTGAGGGAGGTGATCCTGCCCAGCCCTGGTGAGGCCACATCAGGAATGCTGTGTCCAGCTCTGGGTTCCTCAGTACAGGAGACATGGAGCTCCTGGAGTGGTCCAGTGGAGGGCAACAAATATGATTAAAGGGACTGGAGCATCTCTCTTCTGAGGAAAGGCTGAGGGAGCTGTGACTGTTTAGCCTCAAGAAGAGACAACTGAGAGGGGACCTTGTCAATGTCTATAAGTATCTGAAAGGAGGGTGACGAGAATGGAGTCAGGCTCTTTTGGGTGGTACCAACAATGGGACTGGAGACAACAGACAGAAACTGATGCACAGGAAGTTCCACCTGAATATAAGGAAGAATTTCTTTACTGTGCAGGTGACCACGCACTGGAATAGATTGCCCAGAGAGGTTGTGGAGTCTCCCTTGCTGGAGATACTCAAGAACCACCTGGATGCAGTCCTGTGCCATGTGCTCTACAATGGCCCTGCTTGAACAGAGAGGTTGGACCAGATAACTCACTGTGGTCCCTTCCAGCCGTACCCATTCTGTGATAGGAAGAGGTTAGTCTTTCCATGTGTTAGTCTTTCCAAGCCTCAGGACTTGCCAGGTATTTGTTGAGGGTTTCTCTGTGCTTGCATCTGCTGCCTCCTGTCACTAATAGCTAGCATAGGCAGGATCATGGTCAGAATGATTTTTCCTCTCCATGCACCAAAACATAGGAAAGCAGGAGGATGTAACCTTTGGTTGGATGCAGCATTTGGTCCTGGAGAAGGGACTGGAATTGTTTGATCCTTGCAGTCAGTAGACTTCCAGGACAAAGGAATTTACCACTTGAGAGAGAGGATGGAATCTGTATACCTTTCTTGCTTCTCTGTAGTGTCTCAAGACCTGGAGACAAGGCACTATCTACTAGATCTCTATTTTACAGGTATGCAACTTTTAATTCCACAGATAGGGAGGAAACTTCACAGTCTTCCATGTTTTGAATGGGAAGACCTTCCCAAATTGTTGAGAATTGTGTGGAGGAACATTTCTGCTCTGAGGTCCAGAGAGCTGTGAACATGTAACTACAAGTCCATAACATCTCCTTCAGTAGGGATCTTGCCAAATGCCCTCAAGTGGAGGGGAAACGTTTTCAACAGTACAGGTGGAGAGAACAAGAAATTTTCACTGCCTGTTATTGTGATAGAGTCAAAGGAGATAAAGTTGCCTATACATACATACGTGTTTATATATGTATATGTCTGTGTATGTATATAACAGCAACTGGGGTTTTTTTCTGGCACATTTGAGGTGTTAACATGTTAACGCCAAAGATGAAGCACCAATTATCAGACAGACTTGTGAAGTATAAGTTTGAGGTAATGGCATGGGGTCGCTTCAGTGAGATAGCTGTATCATAGCCAGAAATGTGTGCGTAGCCAGAAATGACCGGTCTGTCTGTTCTAAAAGGAAGTAATTGGCCATATTCCTTCTGCAGAGGGGACTGACAATGAACATGATTCTGATGTGGCCCTAGTTGTCCACAAGTTCTAGTGCCAAGGCCACTACCCTTGTAATTTTGCAACATAGCCCCTGTACCAGCTTCTTCCAGACTCTGTAGGCAGAGTCATTCACTTAACCATGAAAGAGGAAGGAGATGGCATTATACTGAAATGTACACACTCGGATTCTTAATTTCGGTAGGTGCGGGGGCAGGGAAGATTAGTATCTCGTTATTTTCAGTGCAAGTACAAAGCACAGTAGTTCTATGCCAGTTTTCACAGTGGGTCCCAGGAAGGATCTGAGGACAAATTGTATGCTTTCACTTCTTTGCAACCCCCTATTTATGAGGAAAACAAAAAAATAAAATCTCTCACGGATACTGAAATTAGTGAAACATATTAAGCCTTTAAGGTAGAACAGAGAATGATAACAGCAGTTATTGAGTCTAGGCATTCACATAGTTGAAAATAAAAACAGGATCTCTAAGCTGTTCTGCATTCTGAAAGAATGTCATGACATTGCATATCTTTTCCTAATAGCATAATGTGAGCAAAAATAAGGTGCCCTTGTGGCTCTTCCAGCACATGTGAAAGTCTTGGGAAGAATTCCACCAGAGCTTATGAGGGGTGATCTGGTCTCTGCAGGCTGTCAGTGCTGCCTCTCTGTAGTTGGATGCTTTACAGATGGGGAGAGCTGCACAGTCTGTCACATTGCAGTTGTGACTGCACAGGCAATAAAACAATACAAACTGTTCTTATTGAGGTTTGTCCTACAAGCAGAGCAGTTCTGGACAGCGAGATTATACTTTACTTGCATGAGTCTGTGCAGGTTACTTGAGAATATCGGTTTGCTCACCAGTGTTATTAGATCACATTCTGTCAAGAGGTAAGAGTAAAACCGGGGCTTACTATTGCTTAAAGATTTAAGTTGAAAAAGTAAACAAAATATCTGGTGAGATGTTCAGATGGACTAAATTCTTCAAGTCCAGTTGCATGTATGTGGTGAGGCACAAAGCTACATTATGATCATGATATAATAATCACTAAATTTTTGAAAAACAAGGTCTGATCTTGTCACCTTGTATTAGATTTCAAAGAAGATATGATGAAGAGTTGGTAATAAGGTATAATCACATGCATGCCTTAAAAGATGAGCAAAGTGAGTATGAATTTCTTTATTAGTTTATTAAACCATCTCTAGGTATTAGCTATGTAAAGGGCTCGTGTCGACTGATGCTGAAGATCTTGCAAAACTTTGTTTCGATTGCTTGAAATGCTCAGTACAACTCTTATGCTTAATGGGCGATGCTAGTTCATGTTTGAACATTTTGGTAAGCTGGGAGATTGCAAAGGTACTTAGTGTTGAGTAGCTATTCAGATAAGTATCAGCTTTGACATTGTGCATCTTTCCTGTTGTGGAAATGAGTTGGAAGCTGTTGTACAGCCAATTATTGATCTGTTTAGATATTTCTGTTGTAAAGTGAAGTCCCTTCTGCTTAACAACCTTATTTTGCATGTTATTAGAGTGGAGTGGTTCATTTTTATTGCAGTTAGCTATTATTTTTATTTGTAGTTGGCGTTATAACTTGTTACCATAATTTGTGGTTGCTGTATAACCACATGACCAGGGCAGCATCCACCACACACTGAACTGATAGTATCCCACATCGTAAACTGGTGTACATATGGAGGGCATATATTTGAGGCTGGCTGTGCATCACTTCACATGACCAGTTAAACTCAGGTCCTCCTTCTTCCTTCCTTTCTATCCCCTCAGAGGCCTTCTGGGGTCAGTGGCATGTTCTTGTCTTGTACCTGTGACATACCTTATCTTAAGGCACCTAACTTGTTTTCAAGACTGTAGAAAGCAAGATGCGGAACAAGGTTAGAGTTCAATGGGTTTTGGCATGCAGGGTTGAGAAGCAATTTATAGGTAGTAGTTTATGCTGTTTGAAGAATAACTAATGGGGTAAAGGATAGATAATGGGGTAAAATATTGCTCATTCTTCTTCAAACTCCAGAGATCCAGAAGGTTGATCTGTTTTCTTAGTCTATAATAAGAACCTTTAGTTAACATCCAGCTTCACTAGTTTCTGTATACAGTGACTGACTACTTTGAACTGAAGTTGTGGGGAAGCCATGAATAAATAATAAACTAGCTTGTCTAATCCAAGGTTCTGCTCATCATATGTGAATTGTTTAATTATGCTTAAGGTAATAAATTGCTTTCTCATATCCATTAGCCAAAGCAGTTGAAGTGTCTTGTATATAAAAGAATACCATTTATATCTAAGTAAGTAGATATGCTTCTACCTTTTAAGGCTGTTATCCGTGAAAATTCTCTCCACAGCATGTGCCAGAGTACTTCTGACTTGGTTCAGAGCTGTTCGAAAGGCTTTGTCCATATAAGCCTTACACTTTTCTTTCATCTTCTCTTTAAATGGTATGCTTTGAACAGAACTTGGTGCAGTTACACTGTATACATGAATGTATGCACTTTTTTTCCTTTCTAAGAAATACTTGTTTCCACATGATGGCAACTCTGTGATAACCGAATATCATGCATATAGTGAAATGCATATGAACAAAATAGTACGGTGTATGTAACTCTGAGTGTATAAAGATCAACTGAAAAACTAAAAGCCCAAATAAGTGATTGCTGAGGGGGTCATGTAGATGCATCAAGGCAACTTAAAATAAATCTGGTAGGTGGCTGATAATGGACATGTATGTGTGTGACCAGTGTTGAGATGTAACTGAAGGAATGATATGGCATCATATTCAAAATGCATTAGTGTAGTTGACTGATATCTATCTGATAACAATATCTGTAAACAATGTAAATAATACAACAGGAGAAATAAAGAGGTGTTTAACATGTTATGAAATAACTTGTAAAAAGCTTCCTAATTTTTTAGGAAACGATATTTCCTAATCAAAACACTGGAAACAAGAGGTTAGGTGATGTTACTACACACACAGCTGGTGTGAGATGTCATTTTGATTGAGATGGTAATTTGTTGCTGTTTCCATGAATTTCAGAAAAATATGCCGCAACTGCAAATGTGGCCAGGAAGAGCATGATATCCTCTCAAGCAATGAGGAAGATCGGAAAGTGGGGAAACTCTTTGAAGACACAAAATACACGACCCTTATTGCAAAGCTGAAGAATGATGGCAATCCCGTGTATAAACGCAATGTAATGATACTGACCAATCCAGTGCCAGCCAAGAAGAACATATCCATCAATACTGTGACTTATGAGTGGGCTCCTCCTGTTCAGAATCAGACACTTGTAAGTCAAGCTTGCTTTTTTTCATGTTCAAGGCAGGAGTTGATGGGAAATAAAGTAGTAGAGCTTACTGGAAGGATAACTTTACCACTTGTAGCCTTCTCTTCCTCTTCAAAACTGAAAATATGGTGCCTTTTTAATAAGTCTTACCTCTGTCATCTTGCTTCATGGATGCTTGTATGTGGAAGTTCTTAAAATCTGGGGAGATGAGATGGTTTTTAATAGCAGATAACTCTTAACTGTAAGTCCCTGGAGTCCTGATTTCTCTAACCTGCCTTTTTTTTAATAAACTTGAAAAATTTTCATGGAGTGTGGGCTTAAAGGAAAAAACAAACCAAAACAAAAAACAAACAAACGAAAAAAAAAAGAAAAAAACAACACCAAAACCCCCCATCAATTTATGTCATTGTTTTAAGTTAAGGGGAACACAGTCTTGCTTATAGCTTTTACTGTATATGGTAAGAATAAGGTCAGTGTTGACATCTAAAAGAGCAGCTCTCTGCCAGTATATTTTCAGCTGAAGTAGATGAGATGGTAGATAGCCTTCTGAGGATTTTGCTTCACTTTTCAAACTCTGATTGTTAATTTATTGTACTGCAGGATTGTGTGATCCATGCCAGAATCACGTTATCTCTGACCTACCCCTTTTCAGTGAATTAATCAAACCTTGTGCATCTAAATTGACTGTTACTTAATGTTCAGTTACTACTTGGATTTTTTTTTTTAGGCTTGTCATTGCTTTATTAAAACTAGAGGGTTGGAGGGTTTTTACCTTTATTTAGCAAGAGTTATTTTTTTCAATGGTCTGTATCCCCCAGGCAGACTATTTCAGATTCTATTTTTCTAAGACTATGCTGATGATCAGTAGTTATAGATAGAGACAAGGTGCTGTGTAAATGTTACTTACTCTGAGAACTAATAACTCTTTTCTGTATGTTATAAAAGGTTTAAAAGCAAGCCTTTGTCTTACTCTGGGAAGAAGTGAATTAATACCTCTGTGTTACAGTGTTTCTGGAGTTTAATGTTTATGGAAAGAACTTTGTTTTTGACAAATTCAACTGTCGCTAACAACAGTAAAGATTATTTTAGTTGTGTGTTTGCTTAAGAGAATGGGTCAGTAATTGAAGTGCTATCTGATTCCTTCTTTATTCAGGCTAGACAGTACATGCAGATGCTACCAAAGGAGAAGCAGCCTGTTGCTGGCTCGGAAGGCGCGCAGTACAGGAAGAAGCAGTTGGCTAAGCAGCTGCCTGCTCACGATCAAGATCCTTCAAAATGCCACGAGCTCTCCCCCAATGAAGTTAAGCAGATGGAACAATTTGTGAAGAAGTACAAAAACGAGGCACTTGGTGTAGGAGATGTCAAGCTCCCTGGTGATGTGGAAGCAAGAGCTGCTGACGAGAATAACCTGAAGGATGGCGACAGAGGCACCTCATCTGCTGTAGGAGCAATGGAGGACAAGTCCTCAGATCAGAAAGCATCTCAGTATGTAAGTATAAGAAGGGAAAGATAACGCAAGAAGGTATATTATCACCAGAGTGCTCTATTTGGTCATTTTAACCAATTAAATTGTTTGTTAACTTGGAATAGTGAAAATCTGGGGAGGGAAAGAATGAAGGGGAACTGGAAAAATGCTGTGAGTGTCTGCAGAGAGCCCTGGTTTCTGACAGTATTTAATGCGTTGCAGCAAATAACTTCCTAGGTGTCATTCTCATCCTTGATGCAAAAACATGTTAGCTTGGAGATAGTATAGCAGTGTGGCTTTTACAGAATAATAATCAAAAAAACTGGTGTAGTCTTAACAGACTAATTCTTACATTATTCTCCTGTTAAAGAGTTTAGTTTAATTTTAGAAGCCTGTTTTCTCTTCTTTCTTGGAAGAGCACCAAAATTACCCACTTGACAAATTGTGTTTAAAATTAAATGAAACTAAGAAATAATAAAGTAATGCCTCTCCATCCCATATCTAACAAGTCAAGCCATATAATGGCTGTTTTCACTAGCCCTCTTTTCATATTCAGATCCATTTTCTTATCTATTGTTTGGCATCTGATTTCTGCCTGGTAATAGTTCAGCAAAAATCAGTTACCCAGTTTTCACTGATATTTTGAAAACTACAGCCTTAATCAAGTATTTCTGCCGTAACTTGCTGACTTCTGCTGTGCATGTCACAGCTACTAATTACAAATACAAAATAGGGGTAATGTTACTGAAGTAACATTAAATTAGTTTAATGGAGGTAGACATTGATTTAAGAGTGTCAAAAGCTACTGTAACTTGATTTCTAGAAATGTTGCTATTATATGTATGAATCCCCAAAGTTATTTGTCTGCAGGTTACTTACAGAAAATGAATATACAAGTTCTAGGTAAAGAAGAAAGTTTGCTTGTTAACATGGGTTGTAGAATTTGGCTTTTGATGTTATTGGGGAGTGTGGTATGCTTTTTTTGGTGTGGTTTTTTTTGTTGTTGTTTGTTTTTAAACTGACACAGTATATGACTTGTGGTGTGAAATACAAAATCAACACTTAAGTTTTAGCTTTGAACATGTACACTTACCCTAATCAGTCTTGTTCTGTGCCACTTGGCTACCTGTAGCTATTTTCTAAATTTTTTTTTTTACCATTATCTTGTCCTGGGAAATCTAAGATACTAAAAAGTTATTTTATCATGGCTTTATTAGGTTACTGTCATTTTGTTTTAAATCAGACTTTCCTACTGGCTTACTTTAGTTTCACCGCAGCAATTCTTCACTTACCTCCTCAAGGGAGACCTACAGAAATACACACATTGCAGTGTACCCTGTAGGCCAACTGCCTTGGACTACATTAAGTTAATGGCAGGAGGCACTCCGTCCTCTTGAGTAATTGTATCAAAAAGTGCTTTGTTTTTACATTACACCTATTTATCACTTCCAGACTTTCCTTACTCCAGCACCTGAGTATTCTTCCTACAATTTAAGCCAGGCATGTCTTATCACTGTGAGCAATGATTTAGAATAAGGCTTTAGAAGTGTTAAATAGTGTAAGTGAATATTTGAGTTGCTTATCTGTTGTTAGGTACTGAGTTTATGCTGAGCTAAATAATCAGGATTCAGATATGTTATTTTTAAGTATTTGGGGGAGGGGTCTGATTTCTGCAGTGATACTTCATTTCAGCTGTATAGTTTATCATTACCTTAACTTCTTTTTAGCAATTCAAAATAATACACAGAAGAGCTCTTAAATCCTTAACAGAAGAAATGCCATCTTTGTCTATACTTTTTTCGATTGGTTCTACATCTTTGGTCATCAAATTTTCTTCTATGTTGTCTTTCAGACTGAGTCTGAAAGCACATGTTCCTGTAGCTGTGGAAAATTTATTTTCGCTACAGGAATAGATTGCAGTTCTTTGAAACCTAATAAAAAGCAAAAAATAACAGTAAACCACTAACAACCAGGTCTCCACTATTAATGTAAATATACCTATAGTAATTGTCTCTGTGTTTAAAAAAAAAATAAATCTTTCACCATACCTGAAAGCTGAATAAAAGGAAAGTAGATATTCAGCATATTTTCATGTTGTAAAGAAGCAAATCTTTATGTACCTTTTAACCACCTAGGCTGGAGATGTCGTAAATGGTAGGTTAATGAATCGTGTTGCCTTCCTCTGGGTCTATGCAGCTACTTAACCTTCCAATTGACTTCTCTTGGAGTATGAGGTCTAAAGTAGAAAGAAAAGCTGCAAAGCTTTATATACATATATTTACACTTTCATTAGTGTCCCTACATATTCTGTTCCAAGTTGTTCTTCCTCCCCTTTTGGTGTCTTTCTGTGTATATTTTGAAACTGCCTCAGATCTGATCAATATGCCTTACAGCCAAGGCACTTTATATGTATTTTATTTTTATATGCACACACAAAGCCTTTTGTGACTGGGCTTGTCATGATGTGGGTCGTAGAGGAAAACCTTCCCAGGATGTTCAGCCCAGCCTGCAGACCAACTGGAGTGCAGGAAATGCCAAACTGGTGATTAAACTGTAGATAAAAAAAAATTGGGGTTCAGTAACAGAAATAACCTGCCTTTTTTGACTTGATGACAAAACCCTCTCTGTAACCAGGTATAGAGCAGAAGACTGACTACAAACTCTTTGGAATTATTTGTAGTGTAGATGTGTTCATGCGCTTTGTAGTCCCTTTTCCACAGTCACTCTCCCTGTCCTAAGATCATTAATCATAGACTGTTGGACAACAGCCATGAGTGACTAGCATCCCTAGAACACAACTTTGTTTGAAATATTCACAGTTTTTTTTTCTTCACCAGTGATGCAGGTAGGGCTTGATCTGCTCATGATGTATAAGTACAGCAATTTTCCTGTCATGTGTGCTAGTCATGGTCTAGCTGGTTAACTTTGATGGAGGTTTATTATTCTCTCCTTTTTCTTGAGTATGTAAGACTAATAGAGCATAACATGAATTTTAATTGCCTGTTGGTTTTTTTTAAACACCAGACTGTAATTGCAGAATCTGAATATGGCAAAATACAATATCCTTTTAAACAGCACTAATGCTATGCCAGTAGAATGTGCATCATCTTGAATTGCTTAGTTAAACCTCAGATATGGCATCCTGTACCACTACTGTCTGATCGTGGGAGTAAACTAATACTTTAATTTCAGTCTGGGAAGGTGGAGTTTATTAAATATATTGATAATATGTAATTTCTATAAATGTACCTCTCAAAGACGTAATTAACTTGGTAATAACCTCTTTCCAGTCCTGCTATCACTGCAAACTGAACATGAAAGAAGGTGACCCAGCTGTCTATGCAGAACGTGCTGGATATGACAAATTGTGGCACCCAGCTTGTTTTGTCTGTTGCACCTGCAGTGAACTTCTAGTAGACATGATCTATTTCTGGAAGAATGGTAACCTGTACTGTGGAAGACATTACTGCGATAGTGAGAAACCCCGCTGTGCTGGATGTGATGAGGTAGGAAATATTCTAGTCTTTTCTTGTAGGGCACAAGTTTGTTCCCCTGGGAAGTGATTAATGTTTTTAGTAAAACATTTCAGTGCAGGGAGAGGATATCCTTTCACTAGCCTTAGCTGATAGTAGTTGCAAACAACCGAAACTGATACGAATACTGCACATTTAGGAAGATCCATAGTTTGCTTTGGATTTGGTGGGGATTTTGCACGGTCTACAGGGACAAAGGATGTGGAAATATGAGGGGAAATGCTTCCAGCAAGTCCTGTTGTGCAGTTCTTTGCTCATGAGGTGCACTAGAGGGCGAACCGACTCTGGGCAGCACACAAGAAACACTCCTCCTGGGCCTGCTGGCAGCTGTGGGCTCTTAGTGAACCGCATGGAGGCTTTTGGGAAACAAACAGTGCTGGAACCACCGGGAGTTCCTTGAAAATTACAAAACATCCTGAAGCTAGATATAGTAAAAGAAATCCTGTTCAAATGAATGTATCTGTTTATATCTTCCTCATAGCTAATATTCAGCAATGAATATACTCAGGCGGAAGGTCAAAACTGGCATCTGAAACACTTCTGCTGTTTTGATTGTGATTGTGTTTTGGCTGGGGAAATCTATGTAGTGGTGAATGACAAGCCAGTCTGCAAATCCTGCTACGTGAAGAACCACGCTGAGGTAAGATCCTTACTGACATCTTAGTGCTGAGAAGGAAGGAAACATATGTCTATGGAGCTTGAAATTCTTACTTTTTCCCAGTGTGGGAATATCTGAAGAGTATAAATTGAATGTATGTTTAGGCTTGAGTCAGTGATCTTTCTCAAAACCCTTTGTTAAAAAAAAAAAACCCACAACTTAAAATCAGGCAAGTATTTTGTCAACTTATAAACTTAAATAAAAGCCACTGCCAAGGGAAGAAGGAAAAATGATGGAAAAATACCTTGATCTTAGCCAGGTGAAGCAGGACTTGATAACAGAAGGGGCAAGGTAGGTAAAGATAAGTGATGCTGCTAAATGTTTAGTTCTTGTCAACTGTGGTTTATTGAGACTGGTGGGAGTCAACTTCAGCTGATCTGGTAAAAGCCTGTAGTGGCAACTGCAATCTAGGTACTTTGTTTCTTTGTATTTCTGACAACATGAGCTATAAAGGAGAGTGAATGACAGGATGAAGCCAGAATTTTGGAACAAAATGGTGGTTCTTGATTCACGGTTATGATGGAAACTAATCTGAGATGAGGGTCCATTCGTATCGTATCAGTTAACTAGGTGCTAGTTGAGAGTTCAACCTAATGTGCATTAGACTGTTTATATAGTGAATGGAGAGAAGAACTGTTATCTCTAGCTGGCAGTTAATAATCACCTGGGGTAGGTATGAGGAATTGTCTTTTGGAGAGGCTTCTTTTTTTTTCTTCTTAAAACATTAACTTCCTTGATCTGAGTGATAATTTGTGACCAAACAGATTTTAAGATGAATAACATCCAAGACTTTCGAATAGCATTTAATTATTGGGCATTGCTGTACAACTGTCAATGCATAGGAAGATATGTAACTAATCTCTTCAGATGTATAGGTTAATATATAAAGATCTATGCTGTTTGACATAACAGGTTTTTATGAATATTGGGATATTGGGAAATCCTAACCATCCTAACTATCTAAGTTTAGTCCCAACAGCAAATAATTTCTTATGTCCATTTTATTATTTTTGTGTCCTCAACTGAATTCTAATCAGAATGCTGCTTTAAAAATAAGGAAAAAACCAAAAGCTGGTTTAAAGCTTTAAAAGGCTTCTTTCAACACCTCTCTTTTCCAAAAACATTTAAGAATTCCAGCCTTTATTGGACTTGAAGAGAGCATGTGTATGCTTCATTTAAGTGTTGTTTTATTTCTAAGCAGATCTGCCAAGGCTGTCATAATGCTATAGATCCAGAAGTTCAGCGTGTGACATACAACAACTTCAACTGGCATGCTACTCAGGAGTGCTTCCTGTGTTCCTGTTGCAGCAAGTGTCTAATTGACCAGAAGTTCATACCTGTGGAAGGGATGGTTTTTTGCTCAGTGGAATGTAAGAAAAAGATGATGTCATAACACATGCACAGAACCAACCAAGCATTGCTGTGTTCCAAAGGCTCTTGCATTTCTACTGTAAAATATATAGTATCAGGGCATTTGAAGTTATTCAAAGTATTAAATAGCAATTCCCAAAGATTTTTTTTTTTTTTTTTATTACTAAAACTTCCTATGTAATCTTCATTTCTCAGCTATAATAATACTTTCTTTTTTGGAATACTGTTCCTGAGTTTTATATCAAATTACTTCACATCCCAGAAATATAAGAAAAAATGCGTTAGGAACTACATACACTTTAAAGGAGCTCTTCACTGTGAAGGATCTTTTTGCTGCATCTTGTCTAATGGAACAAAGAAATTGTGAAAATCCTCCAGTTTATCCTGGTTTGTATGATAAATGTAACTCTTACACCTCTGGTTTCACTAATTTATCATTTTTATAGTTTCCCTGCTTTCATCAAGCACTTTAGACAAAATGATCAGTTTTACTGGCACGTACAGCTTTGTTCACCTGACCTCAAGTATGCAGGGAGAATGACACTTGAAAAAAAGTTTGCCTGTAATCATTTGCTTGTTTTTGACACATGGGTTCTTGAGGGGTAGTGACTACTCTTGCATCTAGTTTTGAAAGCAACTCCACCAGCAGAAAACTCTGTTGGCTCGTATTTCTCTCTTACAACTGTTTGTGCTTGGAAAAGTTTTAATTTTATGAATACTGAAGTTAGGTTATGGACTAGGGGGAGAGTGTTGGTGTTAGAAAATAAGAGCAGGTCTTGCCTAGATTTAAAAAAAAAATCCACCAGGAGTAGTGTGTGACTCTTAGCCTTTCTAAACTGGCTTCTGTTTTATTTCATGAATGTTCTTTTCCTAAATTGTGCCTTCTATCAGAGGGATGTGGCACACAATACTGTATGCATTTCCAAGAATGTATTTCTGCAAAAGGATCCTGCTTAGCCTTTTGATTTTTAAGTTCTTAACCAAAGCACAAAGAAGCCTTTCCCAAAAGACTTCAGTATTTGAGTGAAAAAATTCACAGCTGTGTATTACCTTTGCTTACTAGATAAACCAAATGTGGGCTATTTCTTTTTCTTAAGAATTACAGATCTACAGTGAAGCATTTTAGTTATCTTTGTGCCAAACACTGAATGGGGAGTCTTTGGCCTAAAAACATAATAAAATAGCTGATTTTTAAAAAAAAAGCCGTGCAAGTCTTATGTTCAGCTCTTTTATGTTTTACGGCGACTGTATTGTAACATTTACAAATAAAATTAGTGTTGTTCACTTAGTTGTCTCCTAATTCTGTTCTTATTGAATCCCCTTCAGGGGAGGCAAAGAGGAGGGGAAATGTTTCCATACTTTTCTTTGATTTGAATGTTATTTTCAAATAACTTAAAGCCTGTGTTACTGTACAGTGCTTACTGTCTTGTGTAACATTGTTGATGTGTTTATAGGTCTTGTTCCAACAAATACACAACTCAGAACTCAGTGTTAATTTATTCTTTGTTCACATAAACTATTTTGAGACATTGTATGGGAAATTTTTAATTCACAAAGGTGAGTTAAGGTGCTGAGAAAGTAAAGTGCATTGTGATCCTTTGGGTACTGCAAAAATGAGAAAGTGGTGTGAGATACATACTTAATATGTTGCCTAAGTTAAGAATCAAGTTTTATGTCCGTGTTCTGGAAGCCTGGACAGCTTTTCTCAGAGTTCCTCGGAGTGTACAAAAAAAGTATATGTATTTCAGCTCATACCAACAGGGCTGTATTCTTGCCAGTTTTGCAGTTTCAAACCCGGGAAAACCAGGAAGTCTCAGTAAGAGAAGGTTTTTCCATTTAAGTGCTACTTAACCTGTAGCAGGTTGTGTACCTTAACCTGTACAGGACATGCTGTGAGAATGCCATCTGGGGGGTGCGATAAGGTCTTCTTTAATTATTATATATAAGGATGGATTAATAGTGACTGGGGTTTATGTGTCTTGAGTACATCTGTCCTCACCCACTCACTAACATCTATTCTTGAAGATGAAGCTGACCTTTATAAAGAACTCCAAAAAGCTGTTGTGCACCTTTCCTCACCCTTCCCTCGCCACCTCATTGTAACAACTTTCTCCTTAACGTGTTTGCTTGCACTGATGGCAATCTTTTCAATTTAAATCTTGTTTTCTTTATTAAACGTTATTATTGTGTAACCTTCATTTAAAAGGGTGAGCAGGAACTACCTCAGGGCTCACTCATTCCATCAAGATAGAATTGCTAACGAAACTGATGTCAAACGAAACATCTCAATAGTCCATCAGCTTCTGGGACTGACTTTTTCCATGCCCCTCCTGAAGCATGTTGGCTTGCTGGCTTTATCTGACTCTCTCCTTGAGAATCCTGCTTGCTTGATCCCTTCTGGCTCTCCTCCCTGGAACCTGATGCATGTAGGTGTTTCTGCTGTGGGATAGCCAAAGTTTAATTTCTGTTCATGCAGTAATTGGAAAGGATCATGTCATAGGAAGGTCAAGTGTAATGTGCAGATGATATGGAGAGGAGACAAAGATACTGCTGTGTGACTACACAATAGATCAGGAGATGATTAGGAGTGCAAAACTGTTTTTATAATGAGCTTGGAAGGAATTTATGTTCCTGCAGATAACACTTTTTGTGTTAGCTGAAAGATCTGTCAACGTACTGGAGCTTGATAACAAGCATTAAGGAGATTTCATTCTGTCACTGTCATAATAAAAAAAATGGCAGTTAAGTGTTGAGTTTGTTTCTCTTGTATTTTTTGGCTATTTCATTAGAGGTCCCTTTGGATCTATTTATCTTAGTGAGCTAGGAATAGAAGCTGGAAGCTTTTACATAGTTCAGTAATAAAAATATATACTTTGCAGATGAAATTTTGAACTCTATGAACATTGAAGTTTTTTGCTTAAGAGTAGAATTTTGTTGGTAAGAAAATCTTATAAGAACTCATTTTAACAACAAAAATCTCTTTATTTAAAGAATAGTTATCCTGTGGGTCTGAAAAAATGAGACTGGTAAAAGCTTTGCAAAAACTTGGAAAAAAACCAAAGCTAAATTAATGCATCTTTGTATTAGTAAAAGATCTTTATATATGGTGGGCATAGCCTGTAACACTTACTGAGTTTTGGATTGCATCTCAGGTTATACATATGCTAGAATTAAAAGAAAAACATACTTTAAGCAGCATTTATATATATGTTTTATACCTCTGGAAGTCTGAGGTTTGTGTCTTTTAAAATACATGCTAAAGAGCAATGAGCTGAGCAATTTATCCTTTGCTTGCAGAATCATAGGTTTTGAGTTTTATAGAACACAGTTAATGGTATCAAGCAAAATTATCTGGCTTTGAAATAATGACCAGTAGCACACTTGAGGCGCTTGGACAATCTAGACCATCTGTTCCCTGAAGAACTGGTGAGGTGGGAGTGGCAGAATGTTACCATTTTGCTCAACAGCCTCTGCCAAATTTAGCATGGGTTTGGAATATTAGAGCTAGAAATGGGTGGCGAAGAGGAGGTTGGCAGTCCAGGAAAGGGTCAACATTTCAACAAGCAGCAAGCTCTCTAAGGGCTGTACTAAGAGGACAGGAGGAAGGGAACTTATATGAGTATGAAGCAGTTCAAAGGCAGAAATTCATAATTTGTGCAGGGTGTCCTCAGCTCTTGGGCATGCTATGCCACCAAAGTAGCGTCCCATGCCTTGTGGCATCTCAGTGGAAAGCCATCTTAAAAATCACCTCTACAAGAGCAGACCTGTGAGCCAATGTGGTCTCCTTTCCCAGCCCAAGGAAAACACTGTCAGGGAAGATTACGTATTCACGTCAATATGTAGGAATCCTTTTGTGAGGTGAAAAAGGGTGTGAGAGGCCAATAGAAAATATTTTGCTGGGTCTCCACAGTTCTTCACGTGTCAGGATTGTGGAGTGCCCTGTTTTATCCTACAACAGACAGGAACCCAGTCCAACTGCTCCCCAAATACCCTCTAAGCTCCACTGAGCATAAATGTTATTTTCATTGTAGTTTTTGGTGTGAAACACAGGGGGGTTTATTCACCTTCTTTTGTGTCTCTGGATGAGTGAAGTACTTGCTTCCTGAAGTGGGAAGTCTGGATTCAGGGCTCTCCTCAAGCCTTTCAGCTCTAAATTCTGCCTCACACCTTCAGGGAGAATGTCCCAGCCATCAAGCTGTGGTGTCAACTCCAGGTAAGCACCCTTCATGCCATCTGTTGTATGTAGACTGTAGCTACACATATGCAACTAATGATTTTTAACGTTGGCTGAAATGCGCCATTAAAATTGTATTCCTGTGCCATGAGCAGTCAGCAGCAAGTAGGATCACACGGAAGTAGATTTGGTGATTTTTGTCTTGCAAGTTGCTGCTTGCTAATGGTATAAAGTTGGAGCCTCTCTACACTTAAAAAGGTTGTAACTGATCACCCACGTTCATGTATTGCATCCACTACTCTGTTGCTTCAAAGTGCTAAGGCTCTAAAAAGTCTATAGCCCAGGGCCTTCTGACTGCTTTTGCTCAATCCTTCACTAAATAACTAAATTGAGTTTATTAATTAAGCATAAGGCCAAAGCATAGCACTTAATAAAGGTGAGTACACTACTAGAAGTAGGTGTTAAATAGAAAGCATGTCATCTATATATCATCAAGTACTGAAAATAACATGTTCATTTTTTCCATGTCTTTATTAACAAAATGATGGGTAAAGGAGCTTTAGGGAATAACAGTCCAAAACCATATGAGCCAGGCTAGGCTCAATTGTAGATGTGTTCACTGTTCACTCAGATGTGTTCACTGCCTAACTCACAAAAACTGACCCAGGTAGGTTTTACCTCTGGTAAGCACCCAGGGAGTACCTGATTGACTGTGCCACCACCAGAGCAACAGTGTTGAGTTAGGTGTTTGCTATGAACAATCACAACAAAATGTAACTGATCAGTTTGCCCCATTGCCTTCCCCATGGACAAGTGAAAATAGAACCAAAGGAGAGGATGTTTCTGCTACAAATTAAGCCCAGCATTGTTGTAAAAAACCTTTGCACCCAGTTTATGAGAAACTAGTCAAGCTTCATGTATTTGTTAACTTTTCATTTGTTAAAAATAAATTAGTGTGACAGTAAAGCATCGAGAGTATTTATTGGTTGCCCTGGATGAGTTGTTTACATGAATAAAGACTTGTTTTTTATGTTGGTAGTAATTGTACTATTGGAAGCAGTCACATGATGTTCCTCGGTTCCCCAGCAGATGCCGTCTGTGCTGCACTCAGCACATGGTCTGCTTCATCCACAGGACAGGGTCTGGACAAACAGCAGGAAAATAAGTTTTGGACTGAAAGAGATTTTCTGAAGGCTTTAGGAAAGGAGCAAACTGAGGACGGGGCCATAAGTTCAGGTCACAGTGCAGAAGTGGAAAACAGCGTGATCAGGAATTTGGATAAGAGGAGGAGGCACAAGAGAAGTATTTTAGAATGAACATGAGTAGAGTAAGAAAATAGAGGGGGGAAACGTGCAATAATCCAGGTGGGATAATGCTGAATCATGGAGACACTGAAATAATTTTGACTTACTATAAAAGGTAGAAAACATAGAGTTCAATTACTCTAAAAAAGAAAAGGTTGGTTGCTATGGTTAGAAATCAGAACATGAGGTAGGAAACAGGCTGCAATAACCAAGGTTGTGAGATAAGGAGAAGAGGATGTCCAGGGAACAGATGGTGAGGAAAAGTTGTTCTTCAGGCCTTGTGAGGCCACATCAGGAGTTTTGTGTCCAGTTCTGGGTGCCTTGATACAAGAGACGTGGAGCTCCTGGAGTGGGTCCAGTGGAGGGCAACAAACATAATTAGGAGACTGGAGCATTTCTCTTACAAGGAAAGGCTGAGCAAGCTGGGGCTATTCAGCCTCAAGAAGAGATGACTGAGAAGGGACCTCATAATTGTCTATCTGAAGGAAGGGTGACAACAGGATGAAGCCGGGCTCTTTTGGGTGGTGCCAACAATGGGACTGGAGACAACAGACAGAAACTGATGCACAGGAAGTTCCACCTGAATATGAGGAAGAATTTCTTTACTGTGCAGGTGACCACGCACTGGAATAGATTGCCCAGAGAGGTTGTGGAGTCTCCCTTGCTGGAGATACTCAAGAACCACCTGGATGCAGTCCTGTGCCATGTGCTCTACAATGGCCCTGCTTGAACAGGAAGGTTGGACCAGATAACTCGCTGTGGTCCCTTCCAACCTTATCAATTCTGTGATTCAGCAGTAATCCATGCTCC